AGCATCCACACTGCATTTTCGCAGGAAATGCAAATTTTTCTAGTTCATATTATAATTGATTAACTAGAAAAGAAACGAGACCAGCATTTATATAACTGATTACTCAAAGTGCTTTAACTGGTAGAGATGTTTAAGTATGAGATTTTTCACTGCAAAATAATCATAGCCAAAATAATTCACAATATTATTATTATTATTATTATTATTATATATACATAAAAAAAAATCACAGTTACGGACACATTTTTGTGATTTTTTTCCTCTCTACACCACCGTAGTGGATTTGAAACGAACAATGAAGATGTGACTGAAGCGCAGACTTTCAGCAATGAATGTTTAGGAATTACAGCCATTTTCATGCATAGTGTCCCATTTTCAAAGCCTTACATGTAATTTGAAAATTAATCCTTCAGCACTTTCATGGCCAGGTCAGCGCAGTTCCCTCATTATTCCCTGACAAATTAAGCTGATAAAAAATGTGTTGAAATTGCATTTGGTTAGCTGTTGGGCGGAGCTCTTAATTTGAAGCCCGAAGAGATTTTGATGTAACTGAAGAAGGTTGTCATTAGGCGACTGCAAAATCTTCAGGAGTGGTCGAAACATCGGGCCCTTTCTTAAAAAGAATTAATGCAATGATGGCCTGAAAGACCACTAAAGACACTGAAACTAAAGGGTATGATGACAAAAGAATTTTGTCAAGTCAATACACTTTCAAGGAAATAAGTCTATCTTTATCAAAGTCTACAATCAAAAGATGTCTTTACAAAAGTAGTTGGTAAACTACTGGGAATAGTTTGAGGTTCTTATCCACAACTGGGGCCACGTTAATGGTCTTCCCTACCACTCTTTTGGAGTTAAAAAGCTAATGTCAGGATTTGCTGATGTGTGCAAAATTATACTATTATACAGTTACTACACAGTTGTACAGATCAATAATTCGTTGGCCGAAGACACAATTTTTGTAGGTTTTGTTTTGGGGGTTTTTGTGGATTTAAACTCAAACAGTCAGTATTTGATTGAAGTGCAGTTTTCAGTTTTAGTTCACAAAGTAACTATTTAGGAATTACAGCGAACCAGTTGACAGTTTTCAGAGATTTAAAATCAAGTGAACATTTTAATCACAATTTAATGGCCAAAGTCAAAGTGCTGAATTTGTATTTTATAGCTTTTATATAAGTCAGCTCAATTAAATTCAGTTTTATTTATATGAGGCCAAATCACAGCAGCAGTCGCCTTAATGCACTTTGTATTCTAAAGTAACGATCCAACAGTGACACAGAGGAAATCCCAACAATCAAATGATGCCTTTTCAACAAGCACTTGGCGACAGTGGGAAAGAAAAAACATGATTTTAACAGGAAGAAACCTCCAGTAGAACCGGGATGAGGGAGGGGCAGCCAACTGCTGTGACTGGTTGGGGGTGAAGGGAGAAAGACAGGACAAAATAACACTCTTGAGGAGGTAGGTGTATCATTATCAGAGTCAATAATCAAGAGACACCTTCGTGAAAGTAGTTTAAAGCAATGTGAAAATCACTGGTTATACTCAAGAACAAGAAGGCCAGATTAACCTTCATCAGAAAACATCTAAAAAGCCTGGACAGCCCTTAAAATAATTATTGACACCAAGTTTTACTTGTACCAGAATAATGGCAGCATCAGCAAAAACGTTCAGATGCTTGTGGACTTAACGGTATATCTGTTAATTTTTTAAAAGTTTGTCTATTGTGAGTTTTGTCAAACGAATTATACTCAAAATATGAGTGTAACAAGATGGACACAGAGTCTGTAAACACAACTACACGGCAATAATACGTACACTAAATGCAACAAGAGCTGAATCTTGGTATTATCGAGTTCACTGTGACAAACCTAGCCAACCTGCTTTAACTATTCGAGTGTATGCTGTTGTGTAATGTTGAATAAAAGGTTCAAACACTGACAACAGACCATATGTAGCATCTTGTCACCAGTTGGAGGTTTGTCTGCAGGTGGCCAGCTGCAAGTGACAGCGCAGACTGTGACTCAAGCTGCTCTCTTTTTTCTCCCGAGCGATCTGTCACTCCACTGCAGCCGCGCTCCACGCTGGGACCCGGCATGATCGACCGGATACAACTTTCAGCTACATTACATCAGCAATAGGTCACTTGTGGTAAGAACAGGGGTTGGGCATTACAGAAGACACACCAAATGGCATACCAAATTCAACACAGACAGGGAGCAGATACTTCCCCAAGTTGAAAACAATAGTACATCCCAAACAATAAGGGGAAAGACCCCAGAAGCTTTGTATTTTATTGATGTTTGTGAGTCAGGTCTTCCCCTAAGGAACAAGTGAAATCAGGTGTAAAATGTGTCATTCTACCTTTAGGCTCCGGTCATGTTGTACCCTATGTTAGAAAACAAGCCCCTTGGGTATGTGTCTGAAAAGCCCAGAGTAATTCTGCCCGATAAAATGAACTTTCTATACCTTTTTTCCTTCCTTACAAACATGTACCATAATGGAGTTACTGTGTAAAAGGCACTTTAACACATTAGTGCTTCTTTAGGGAGTTAGCTGTCTTTCCTGTTTAAAACTTAACCCTGCTCTACATTTCCATAAATAAACATTTTTCACTTTACCACTAAGCTGGTAAAAAAAAGGAAAAGGGTCTCTCAACAAGAGTCAGGAGAAAAGAACAATAGCAATCATATCAGCTGGCCTAATGTTAGCAAAGGTTCAAGCTAGCAAAGCTTCTGTGCTAGCAAAAAAGATGATAAACACTTACCCCGGCTTTGTTCATAAAAAAGGTATCATTACTTTCAGACAAAGTATATAATGTATGTGTGTGATGTTGTAAAGTCTTGGTTGTGCACTGAGTATATAAAAGCCCAACTAGGGACAAGAGTTGCGAACTAGCTAAAGCTATAAATTTGCTTTGAAACCCATCAGCTTCATGCTAAACTGCAGTCCCGATTACATCAAATTAAATAAATAAATAATAATTAATTAAAAAGGTTTGGCAGATTAAAAAAAACTGAGCAAGGATATGTACCCATATGGAAAAGATAAATATATATATATAAATCTTATGTGAAACTTGTATGAAAAGCATACAAGAGTAAAAACAGATATAAAATCCCTTGAAAAATTATATAATGAAACTTATATGTTTCGGATACCTACTAAAACAATATATGAAAGTAATGAGAAAGTGGCCACTTTCATGAGTAAATCATATAAGCCTTATATGATTCACTATATGAAGTGGGCCACATCTTTTGCAAGTCTTCTATAAGTTTGTTCTATTTCTTTTCCATATGGGTAATATCTCCTTCTTTAACAGTAGCTTTAGCTTTAGCAGATGTAGCTCAACCAGGTAGCTTGATCCAGTGTTGCCAACTCCTCAGTAACAAAAATCGCTATTGGCTGTCATAAAAGTGGCTAGAAGTCGCTCAATGACTTCATTGGTCATGCTTATGTAATTGTAACCGATGCTGTACGACAGAGAAATAACATCATGGAAGAGACATAAAGTCAGTAAAAAACACCCTAAATGCATTTATATATATTTAGAATGTATTTCGAACTACAAATTAAATTTCTTTCAGTAGTTATTGTTTTTTTAATGCCACAATTCCATCCCTCCTCCTTTATCTGGCTTTGGACCGGAAAAAGTGACCCAAAATAGGCAGTGTTGTTCTCACTTTAAGTGTTTAACTTGTTGTTTTGATTCTACGCACTTTACACTACTCATGAATCATGCTAACGCTAAGGTTTAAATATGAACAGACTTCCTTATTGCCGCTTTGACCCTGAACCTTCTTTTGCAGCACACTAGTTCCTTTCCTTTCTACTAGCACAAGGTTAGTTAAGCTCAGTTAAAATTTCTTGACGTAGACTATTTGTCATATCAGTTTTACTTGACCTAAACCAAATTATAAGTTTTATAAATTTATGAGTTTTTAAAAAGTGGTAGCCAGAAACAAATCAGTGTCTATATGCATGAAACCCATTATAACTTAGTTGTTTGTTGGTAACACGACTTTGTTATATGTGTGTTTCTGTGTGTGTCATCACGAATGGCTTAATTGTTGTTAATTCATGTTGGCTCTGCTTCACATGGAAGTCATCACTGATATTGCACATTACAGTTTTCTTCTGCTGCCTTTATAGCCGCATAATATGCTAAATAATGTAGGAGCCCGTTTGCTTTTTAGAGCACAGGACATTACATACGAAGCTTTAAACTGAGTTAGCTCAGAGACTGCGTTTGCTTTAATCCACTCAAAACACTGCATGTTAAATATTTACTGCACTATGACAAAAGCAGCTTTATAAAACAATTGGAGGTAATGATAGCTTTTTATTGTTGCTTTGCAATAGTCTTCAGTAGAAAGCCCGATAGTGATGGGTCACGTTTTAATTTCAAAAATACAATGCACACACAACATGCTGGGACCATACAAAATAGTCAGAATGCCAGAGCTGTAAGCTGAGGTGGTAGAGTTGCTCTCAGCAGCAGGCTTCAGCACTGTGTGGTGCCCAAGGTGTGGTGACATGATGTGAGCTGACAGCTGGCACCATGGGTAATAGGTCTAAAACTCCCATCATGTAGTCTGCTGAGGCCCCGTCCTGCCATTCTAACCCACCAGAAGTACGCACCTACTTGGCCATTACTTGTTTATTACTAAATCATAATTAAAAGCTACAGGAAGGTCAGAGTTATGATATAGCTTTGAGGTTTGGGGTGTGTGAAATTTACGTGTCTGAAATGACTCAGAGATCTTAGACTTGGAGATATATTTTTATTTAATTGCTTTAAGAAATAAATTCAGAGATCTGAAAAATAAACAACCACAATGTAAACACAAACGTTTCTTGCATCAATTTCTTTATTTTTTTTCCATCAAAAGAAATGCACAGATCAGCAAAGCTATTACATACAAATGGCCATACAATAGCAATTCATTTTTTTCTGTTCTTGTTTGAAAGTCTTCAGGAAATTCTGTTGTGTCATGTATACACTGTGTATCTTGAACATTTGCAGTTACGCTGCATTCAGCAACAAAAGAAATCGTCCCAATGCTCTTCTTCCACGTTCAAATGAAAGTGTTCAGCCACAAACTACATATCTGGACAGCTACTTGTTACTGCTCCAGGAAAACTACTGTACTTACATACAATAAAGAAAAGAAACAAAAGTTTTGCATAGCTTCAATGTAATGTAGATACAGTACTGTAAGGCACTTCATGAAGAACTTTAGGCATTTTTAAAAATAAATCCTACACAATTAACCTTTTGTCACGTCATCCTACAGATTCCATCTCGATAGATAAATGTTACAACATCTGACGAAAAAAAATCTTTTCTTAAATCACATTTTTGCGCACCATGTATATCTACTATACTACACTGCTTTTCTTTTGGCATTAAGTCTCAAGTTCAACATTCATATATTGTGCATAATATGACTCACACATTGTCCCCATAACCCCACACAACCCAATATTTCTCAAAAAGACCAAAAGAAAACAAAAATTGTGCAATGATTTGGGGTTATGTGGAGTAAAAGGCAACACGCTGTCAAAAACGAGTCCCCCAAACCAAAAGAAAACCTAAATGTCTGGGCAAGTTATAGGTCATTTCCTCATAGACGGGTGCTGTACTGACAGTTACATCATTTTCATTTGCCTCTCCTCACACCAGTCCAAACCAGTGTGGGAGTGTGTGTCGTATTCCAGCAGTTGTAGGTGGGACTACATGCTCCAGCAGGCCACGTAGATAGAGGTAAGGAGGATGCATCTGCTCTACCCAAGCTGATCTTCGTACTGTTTGCGGAAGCAATCTCCAGCTGGGAAAAAGTCCCAGCAGCGCTCCTGATACATCTTCCACACGTAGGACTCCTGGACACAAGCCAACGTCAGAGTTTAGCTCGAAATCTTTAACTTGCCTAAAGTAAGGCTGAATGTTTTGAATTTAAATATCCAAAATTTAAACATTACATAATTACAGGTGTGTTAATGAGCTGAAATGGGTATACTTGGTATTAACATGCAGTTAATACCAAGTGAACGTATCAACAGAAAGATCATTAAAACAGTTTTGGTATTTAATGAGTATACTAGCTCTGTCCCAAAACCTAGGCCGCCTCATTTTAAGGCTGATTACGTCACAGCCAGGAGACGAAGGCCGTCCCAATTTGAAGGCTGCTCCAAACGCGGTCGACAAATGCGTCCTTCATTTCCCCAAATTTGAAGGATTGTACCCTACCCCAGAATTCATAGCGCGGCCCAGCCGATTCCAGTTTCCAACAATGGCGGCAGCTACTTAGTTTTAATATTACTCTGATTCCTCTTTCTGTAATCACAAAATAAACTTTTAACATATTCTCAGGCAAGAATGTAGCTGTGTAAATTTCAAATATCTGCTCGAATTATCAGGATATCACATATTTGCACAAGTGCTCCAATGTTTTCGGAGACGTCTGTTACCCTCCAGATCGATAGCTAGCCGGGGGTTCAAGGCTCACTGGAGCCGGCGAGAACAGCGGACTCCCGGCACATCGCTTTCAGATCCCCCGCGGTCTTTCACTACTCAGGTTAAACATGTTACTAAGTCACTCAGATAAATGAAAAATGTTATTGTTTGGCTTTTTTCAGTGTTTTATTTGCTCCTGAGTAAATCGGTTCAGCTGAGATTACAGCTAAATAAACATCAAACAGAAAACTGATTAACAGAAGTGTGAGATGGTCGAGAATTTACTCCAATGTCAAGTTATATATTAGCGAGTGAGGAGCAGACGGCTGAGTTTATTAAACTCGGTGTTTGGAGGATGCTGCCTATGAAATGGGACATAGCTACTGTCTTATCTAAGAGAGGCAAAACAGTTAGCTAGTAGATGAGCACCTACTTGAAATGTTATTAAGCAGTATTAATCTTAGCACTTTATCCACACAAATATGACCTAAAATTAAAATTGAATCTCTATGTGCTTAGTACAATGACCTTAATTAATATTATGTAAACCACAGAGTTTTAAACAACACTTTAATTCCACCACAATATGGGTAGATATGAAAAAACGAATAAACCAAAATAGGTGTTGAGAGTAAGAGGAGAAATATAGACTGGGTTAAGCTAATCAGGGTAAAATAGTCTTCTACCTGTCCAGTGTGCTCTGTCTCATCCTTGTTGATGAGGTACATCAGGAAAAACCTTTATAAGAAAAACGAGAACAAAGAAAAAAATATTAAAGGGGAATCGCAGTCTTGTATCTAAGCCCATGACCACAGCTGAAGCACAGAGCAGGGACATGAGAAGCTTTTCTGTGACACATTTGATTTTTGCAACACTAATCACGTAAATGTCAAACTCTCCGTGACTGGGTGTCACAGTTCCCGATGCTAGTGTCTAAGTAAAGTTACACCACCTCGTCTCTATCGCAGAATCACCTGTTGTTCTCCAAATCGAGCGTAAATGGCAATGAGCCGCTGTATCTCTATGGGCATCGCAGCATGCCAAATCATAATGAATACTGAATGAGAGCGTGCTATCACAAACCTATTTTCCAATAAAGTTCATGGCATTAAATAGTAATGAAGCAAAATAATGAGGTCGCTCTGATATCCTCCGGCCAGCTGACTGTGAGAGCAAATGGACTGAGACTTTCTATTGTTACTGGTATTATTCAGAAACACCGACTAAGCGGTGCGTGTGAGGGAAACACAGGCAGGATACCTGAAGGGATCTAGTGTTCTGGATCAATGCTGCTACTAGTGACTTTGGTGTTTATGCTGCAGTAACGTGCTAAAGCCATCAATCATGTGGTTAAATTACAGAAAAGCGTTGACACGAATGGTAAAAGATTACTGCAATGATTACAAAACAAAAAAACCATTAAAAACACTACTGATCAAAAGGATACTCACAGATAGTTGGCCAAATTGTGCTCTTGTAAGGTGTGGGTCTCAAAGCCGTGCGGGGTTGTGTCGAAGTAATCGTTCCCGATCCCACAGATGAAACATTTGGTCTGAGGACAGAAAATGAAAATTAGAAGGCACGCTTCCTTCTTCTTTTTCTGTGCTTCATTGATGAACTACAGTAAACAAGAGTTTGCCTAAAGCAACACCAGATTGGACATATTTTACAATATTAAGGTCAAGTTACTCATCACGCTCAGTCCCACTCAGCCTATGAACAACAGAGTCTGAGAAAATAACACAGTTATTTATTATTGACAGTTTCATTAAGGGTTATCTGCCCTCTCTTAGGCGACAAGGTTATGCATCAACAAGTATGCTTCCAAAATTCGGCTTAATATTTATATTCCCACGTGCACGTTGATCTTCACTTGCCTGTCACAGTGACTGTTTAAATACTCAAGAGAGATGGGGAGCTCACAAAAATGTGTCACATCTCTGAAACTCAACACGTGATCAAATAGGGGGGTTAGGGGGTACAATTTCCATAAAGTAACCCAGACAAAGTAAAATGTTAATGAAAAAAAAGAAACAAGTACACGAGACGAGACACAAGAGTCCACTAATAAGGCCGTAGTCTCCAGAAGATCTACATTAAATCTATTCGTACATGAAAGGTGGACGTGAGCGCGATTATGCCGTCTAATGGTTAGGGAGGTGCTGTTATGAAGGGTCGAGCTGAGTGTTCAACTGTCTCGCTATTTCAAAGCCACTTACCAGATATGAGGTTGGCCCATCATAAACTATACCCGGTTTCAGATGGTAAAGAGTGTAATCATTTGCAAAAATGAACATCATGTTGTTTTCAGCAGCCTGTGAAACAAACAGTTGCTCACCAAGAGAGTATTAACTGAGGTCATAGAACAAGAGAGCCGAGCGCTGTTACTGTGGAGTCTCATCCAGTCTTCTTTTTTAACAGTTGCCCCCTGATGGCCCTTAAGCCTGTAGCGAGACATGCATAAATATTTCTTCGAGTGATGGATATTACCTGTCGCTACATCGAATGAAGATAAACTTTATTGCTGCCCTTCTGTGATAAATATGAGTTCTCATGTTATTTGTCCTGGACTGTACAGAGCCACAAAACTGTGGAATGATGTGACACGTTTGTTTCGAGCTTGCATGCCCCTCAGGAAGCATCGATAGAACTTCAGGCACTATGCTTCCTGCTTCACCGCTTCTGCTGCTGTTGATTGGCTGCACCAGCTGCTCTGTAACAGTAGCCTTGGCCCTGACGTTACTAGGCAACAGACAGTTCACCTCCTAAAGAAGTTTCTGAAGAACCATGTGACTGAAGATGTAAAGGGATGCTGGGGAACAGAGGACCTGGAGGACAACAATGTGATGCACGGGTTTCCCTCCACTTTTCTATCCCCTGACCCTCAGACTCCAGATCCATAAAAAAGAGACCTTCAAAGAGGACAAAGAAGGTTTCTTCAAGTTTAGAAGGAAGAGGCAGGAGACGGAGAACCAGGAAAATGTAGAATTTGCACTCCAAACACAGCAGGAAGGCAACAATCAGCCAACAGAAGAGCAGCAGAAACAGAGACGAGAGCTGACAGTGGGATGAGCAGGAGATCTGGAAGGACATCACGCTGACCCACCATCAGAGGATTCTGGATGTTCCGTCTCTTGAAGAGGTTTTAGACCATCGTTACGTGGATCCACAGAACATCATCCACAACATGACCAAAGTCAACAAACACAGAGTGGCCACACTGGACGACTTCTACAATGGCTTCACTTCACAGACCTATAAGCTAAGTCCATCTTTTATATACGGCCTATGATTTACACTCCTGCCACTTCCTTCAGTGCTGCAAGTTATGATGATCTGGCCTCTCACCTCCATGTCCTCTTTGACCTGCTCCTGTTGGTCTCTTAACTCTCCAAAGGCATCAATGATCAAACCTGCAACCATAAAGGAACTGCTGTGAGCATGACATACATGCCCTAAGCATAAAGACTGTAATATTTAAATGGATATATGTTGTGGGTTCGTCTAATTACTGATAAATAAGGTTGAAATTGGGATTTTTTTTATGTACCCTGGATGATGGCCAAGAGGATGACAATAACAAAGAAGAAGAACGTGATGTCGAACAGGATGCGGTAGAGCTCATAGGGGTCACCAGCTGGGTCCTCGATCTCATCCCCTATCCCACCTCCTGCTCTTACCCCAACATACATGTGGAATAGGTAGCACTGCGGGAACACAGGTGGAGGTCTAATTGAAATCTGAGGCTGAGCATTAAGTCGTGGCTTATTTTAAGCAGCGAGCCCAAATCTGTTCCTTAAAAAAGAAAGCGTAACTCCAGTTTACCGTCATCATGTCGTCGCACTTCATGTCCGGCTCATCCTCATCCTCACTCTTGTTGTAAAACTTCCTGAAGAAGTTGAAGGCCACCACAGTGTAGAGATAGACCACAACAGCTAGCAGGCCCACTGTCAGCACCAGCTGCAGAGACACATGAAATCTGCATTCACAGACTCGCTCTTTTTTTGCTATTTATGTATTTCTTTTAGACACACAATGGACGCAGCAGGGGCAGAGCTGCTGGCTTCCTTTTGTTTTCTATAAAAGAATTGCAACAAAATTAGATCAGCAAGAGAGGAGTGAGTAGAGAGAAGGGGAAAAGTTCAAACGCGTGGAAACGAAGAGAAAGTTTAGTGCTCACATGAGTTATTTATTTATAGTAAATACAAAAAAGAGTCTATTATTTCACATATAATAAAAAATGGATTCAGCCGGTTGTAAACCTGAAAGGCAACAACGCCGCAAAGCGCATTTAGATTGATAGCGTGACTGATCCGCCCACAGACGGCTGAGTCTGGGAGATGTCGCTGATTCCTTGTGGCCTTGCCATTTTGGTGCATTTCCACCCTTGGAGACTGAGGTGACATTAAATTCTGATTTGTCCCTCTGGTCAGTTAACATGGGAATTATTGGAAGAACTGGCAATCCAAAGTGGGATTTAAATTAAGCCATGTGAGCCATTTGAACTCAAATGTCAAAGGATGCTGAGAACATTCCAATTATCTCACACGACACATACAGGATCTGCTGGATGACACATTTGTGATTCATGTCACCTGCATATTAGCTGCCAACAAGCGAGATCATTTTTCTCAGAACCTGATGAACCAAATTAGACCTAAATGGTCAATTAGATCAGTTAAATGACAAGAGAAGCTGCCTAATAAAAAGATCATATTTGTTAATATGTTGGCTTTAACCTATTATAAAACCAAGCCTGGGGCTTTTAGCGCTTAAAGTAGCTTTTTAAGGACATAAATACATAATATTAAAATAACTGTGCTAACATTTAAAGCAACATTAAAATGATTTCAACTGAAATCCGTTTTGGGCGTGCAGAAAGCAGAATTTAGCACATTTTGAATGGCATACTTCAAATGCCATCACTGCAAGCTGTGATCAAAAATGTGTTTCACCACCAGCTCTGCAGTGACCCCTGCTGTTCAATAGAAGAGCTGTATGCGTTTCCTCCTCACCTGCTTGCCATTGTGCGTGACAGATGAAAGGATGGTGCGGAGAGTCTTGAAGCCCATGGCAATGTCCAGCAGATGGGCGGCAAAGAAGAAGTTGTTGTAGTGACCCAGGATGGACATGGTGGTGTACCAAACTAGATACAAGAATGACTGGTGGAGAAACAAAATGGATCAGAAGCCGTTCGCCCTGCTATAAAATCCTCCATCAACCTCCTCAGCTGTCAAATAATGTAAACCACCATCAATAAAACTACAAAACAAAGCAATTAATCATCCAAACTTATTTTTAAACTTACATTATCTGTAAACACAACCCCCATTTTCCAGACATGGTACTTTGTATCGATTGAGCTCAACCTGGCAACAGAGAAAAGTTGATATGAAGGGCTCGTATTTTCTGTTTGACCTCTATTTTTACTCCAAGCAGCCCTGGGCTGTCTGCTTTTTATCAGCCCAATCTCTCACCATGACACCAGTGAAGCCTCCTTGGCAACGGTTTCCTCTGTAGGGTTGAAATCCAGGGCACTCTTGTCCAACCCCAGCAGCTCTGCTATCCTCTCTGCTCCGTAAAGGTCTCCATACTTTTTTATCACCTACAAACAGAAGCCGCGCGGAAATATATAAGAGACACGGCAGCTGACATTTAGTAAGTGTAAGCAGATTCCATTTATAGCTTGTGTGCACAGCAGATTAAACTTAAATTACATGAGCTACTTACTTTGCGCTTGACAAATTTATCCCAGTAGTTGTTGGGAAAGGAGCTGATAAAAAAACAAAAACAGAATTAAACCTCTGTTTGCACAAGATTATGATTCGTCGTTTGATAAAAGGCAGACTCACGGAGTGTTGATGACCAGTCTGTCCCACTGTCCTTTAATGTCGTCATCAGACGGCTGCTCGGTGATGTAGAGGCCTGCAAACTCCAACTTCCTTGCTATCTCCTTCTCCCGCTTGAACACTACCAAAGGCACCTTGAACACACGAGAAATCGGGCTGCATCACTGAGACAGTGTGTGTGTGTGTGTGTGTGCGCACGTGAGTGCATGGGTTAACAACGAACAAGTGTACTGAAATATAAAATGTACATATACCCAAACAAGATATTTGAAGTTACTTGATTTTTTTAATGCTCCACATGTGTGCGGTTTTATTTTTGCACCTACTTAACAAATTCATTAGACCACCTTAAAAAGCTGTGCATACCTTCAGGTAGTAGTATCCCACTACACACAGGAAAGATATGATGGTGTGTAGTATTGCCAGACAGCGAAGTGTTGGTGCCATGTAACCTGTGCTCTCCTGCAAGACGAAATACTCAAGCGCTCCCTCGTCTTCCTCCTCCCCAGCTCTGCCTCGACCCTTCCAGGGGTCTTCATCATCCGAGTAATCACCGGTCACCTAAAAGGTGACGACACCAAATTTGACACCCAGCTTACAAAAAAGCGGGACCCTAAGGTGAGTATATAAAGTGGTAGTTTAGCTCCAAACTTACTTTGTAGAAGAGAAGAATAAAGTTGATAGCAAAGGCAACAAAAAGTGCCAAGAAGCGGAGATTGTAGAAATTTCTTGCCAGGTAGTTCTGTGAAAAAGTAATCGTGATCATCATCTTTGTTTTTATGTCTAACAAGTTGTATTTGTGCTTAATGTAACAGTTGTGATCTTAAAACTGCAGTGAGGAAAACATCTGACCAGCATCTTAGTCTGGTAGACTTCCAAGCCGGCGAAGAAGCTCGCCATGAAAGCCTCCGGTGCCTCTTTCTTCAAGCCGAGCCTTTTCTTCGGGGCTTTCTTCTCCTCCACTGACAGCTCTGGAGGAGCTTCGTCTCTAGTCTTGTCGTGGTCCTTCTTCTCACCATCTTCTGAACTGCAAGCATAAATTATACATTAGAGACAGAATAGCAAATTGTGTTCATAGACACAGATGTATACTTAATATGGAGAAAATGTGGATACTAAGCAAAGGGACAAGCACAGGAGTAAGCATGGATACGAAAACTGTTATTTATGTGAAACTAATCTAACACAATCCTCAAATAAACATATGCAAGTGTAATGTAGGTAACAATGAACAACACTCACTCTCCCTTCTCTGTATCAGATCTGTAGTCTCCGTTCACAGCCCTCGTCTTTGCAGCCATCTGGAATCAGCAGATTACTTTAACATTCAGGTTCTACTAATAAGGGTGTGTTCTTCTTCTATTTTCTGAACAAAATCACTAACCTGTGCCTTCTTCTGCTTGACTGCACTGGCTATTGACGGGGCATCTCCCACCACCACCTCAGACACATCCCCCAAACCTGGCTCGGCCCCGTGCTTGCCCTCCTTCTTCGGCTGTATGTTGAGTAGCTCAGCCATCAGATCTGCCTCTGCTGCTTCCCCTTGAGCCATCTGACCCAACTCAGCCAACGCTGACGCTTCGCTTGCCTCCATCTTTTCTGTTTCTAACACGTCTCCATGGATCCCGAACTGAGTGGGGTCAGGCATGTTTCCCAAAATATCTGTAACCTTCATGTTCTTAGCCCCTTCAACGAGGCCACCTCCAAACATCGTGGTCCACAAGATGTGGAAGAATCCCCAAATTAGGCTGTAAACAAAGTGAAAGAGGCCTGTGATGATCATCCAAAAGAAGGAGAAGAAGCCCCGCACCATCTCCTTCACACTCATCTTCCTGAATTTCCTGAATTGCCGCCGCATGCTTTTAAGAGTAAGCAGCTGGCGGAAGTGACACAAGCTCTTTTTCATGGAGATGCATGCGATTGTAAATGCCGAGGAAGACTCCATCATCGCGCTCTCCTCGTCTTCCTCTTCCTGGTTCTCCATCATGGTCTGGATGTCATCCTCTTCTTCCTCCGGGCGCTCAACGGGGTCTGGCTCTGAAATCTGAGAGGCCAGCTGCATCTCGAAGATCGTGTCCTCGCAGAAATTTACAAACAGCTCCATCTTCTCGCTCTCTCCGCCCTCGTTGACCACGTCAAAGATGAACTGCCGCTTCGACTCTTTCACCTGAGGCTTCTCCCATTGCGTGCGACTCGACTCGCTGATCTCGAAGTACACTCTCTCGATGCGCTTGGCTCCGCCCATGATCTCAATGCGGCCCAAGTAAGGCTCGAAGTAGCTGAGGACGCTTTCGGCCAGGTCCAGGAAAGTTGAGAGGCGGGCATCGTGAGGCATGTGCTCTGAAAGATTGGTTAGCAACACGGCGACGTTAAAGCCGATGTCTTTTGCCGGTTCGTGAAACCTCTCCACAAACTGCTCGTAGTTGAACATGTCGTTCTCGTCAGCCTCGGCGCAGGAGAGAAGAAACTCAATCTCAGACTGAGAATACTGCTTCTGGTTCTCCATGGACTTCTGGAAATCCTTCTTTGAGATGACGCCTTTGCTCTCGGGGTCGTACTCCTTGAAACTGTCCGAAGTAGTCAAGTCCTTCAACTTGAGGAACATGTCGAAAAATTTCAGGATCATCTCCACGTTACTGGAAGATTCCACCAAGGTGTCCACCATCTGTTTGCCGATAGTTCCATTCACAACATTACCTGTGAGACAATAAAGCGGTAAATTTTATCAGTAAACTCATTAAAAAAACACTTCCCCATGCAGATCAGACTAATCTGCTCTGCTACACATTTGATTATATCAGGCAAATAAATCCGATTTATGAAAGTACCAGCATACAAAGCTTATATAATGTTATTAAAAACAAAAAAACACCTTCAAGTAGCGAGAGCATCATGACGACCATGTCCTTCTGCAGGTCCAGCAGCTCCTTTAGTAATTCAATCTGACTGGAGTCCTGTTAGAAAAAAGACAGAAAGGGGAAACGCGGTGAGTCATAGTACAATATGTCACGCAGACCACTGATAGTCTAACTGTAAGGGTACAGCCAGGCTCTTTAATATCCCTGTGATGCAGAGAGAGTTGGAGAGATCAAGGCTTTAATATTGTAGGGACCTCAAATGGCCCCTGCTGTGGCTCAGAAGGTCCTTCTAGGTAACATCGATGCATCACAACCAGGGTTTATGTTATTTTGCTGTCTAGGAACAGATGGCGAGGTCAGGCTGACTCGTTTAAGGTCTCTATGGGCTTTGTATTCAATGTGCCATAAATCTGAAGCGTGCTTTGATGCACCTGTGCTCTTCTTCATCCTGGCTGCTGCTGTCAGACCCAGCCCCTTTGTGACGACCACGAGATAAGATTAGGTGGGTGGATTTCATCCCACTCCTGGCTTATTGGACATATCGATGATGGAGTCATATATCATGTAGCTGAGGTGAACAACATGTGTAATTGTACTGGAGTTGCTTCTGATTATCAATGAGCCTGGAGAGACCTCTAGTGGCAACGAATAAAACACCAGGGGCTGTTCACATTTTCACATCTGTACAAGCCGTTATTTCAAATCTTTACTTAAGTAACAACTATTAACTATAGCTAAGCAGGCATGTATTAAAACAAGCAGCCCATTTTCTTTTAAAAAACTGTCACTTGACTTAATGTAGTTGTACAAGCAGGTGGTTGACCTTATACATATGCTAGTTTATTTACACTGCCATCCCTTTGGTTCCTATTATTTTTAGATCTACATTTCTGTGCAAAAGTCTTGAGGTACGCTTCCTTTCATGATTTTTTTAGGGAAATGGGAAACAGGTACAGTAGTTTCCTGAAACATGACTGAAAAACATTAAGCATTAACATAAAAAAACCCCACTGAACATGGTTAGGTATAAGAACGCGACAGCAAATGAGTAAAAGAGAGATATTTTCAAAGACTACTCTAAGGAACAGCGGCTCAGTGGAAGCCAAATAGAAAGAAACAATACTTTGGCGTAGTACATACAAATACAGGCCATACCATAGTACTCAATATGCTGCTAAAATGGAGAAAAACAATCCTCTCAGTTAAAGATAAAAAGGCCATTACACCATATATTTTGTTAAGTGGAGTCAATTTAAGGCAAATCATTTATAATAGGATTAAATCTTAATCAGCAAAGTACCAACTTTCCAATGTCAAGCAGAAATCCTTCACAGTGAAAGTAAAGATGAGCAAAACACAAGTAAACAGTTTAGTCAACACAGAATGAAACAACTCAAGCAAGTGTTTAAGTTCGTTTGTTTAAGTTAAGGCACATCTGCGTCACTGCAGACAAACACATACCTGAGATAACTTCATCTGCATATTGGCAAAAACATGCAAGAAGCCCACCACAGCATCCCACAGCCTGCTGTGAGCCAGGCTCTGCTGATTCCCTATACACGGACCCTGGAGCACATAAAACAGAGACGAAAAGAGACGCTCAGACGATGACAAGCAGCCTTTCTCGTCACTAAAGCGCCGAAGGACCGTTAAGATATTGTAATGAACACTTTAAGCAGCTTTTACTGTGGACAGTTGTGATTATGTACCTGTATATACTCTGTTAAAGAGTTGAACACCTGTTTGGCCACTGCTAGTGCTCTGGAGAAGTTCCTCTGACCGGCCTCATCAATGACATCCTTGCCAGAGTAGTACCAGTAGAAATCACTAATAGATTCCTAAAAGAGAAAGCACTAAAATTAATAGCATATCTACTTTACTGACATTTAAAGCTCTGGATGTAACAATGTGATACCTGCAGTCTTAGTAGGTAGTCCACAGTACTAATGATTATGTTGACTGTAGTTGTGTTCCCTGTCTGCGTCCTTAGGAAGTTTTGAAAATCTAAAACAGAAGATAAAAAAAGATTAAACACCAATTTCCTGCAGATAGATACTATAGGAATTTATTTTCTGGTCATTTCTATGCAGCTTGAGGCAGCATGGCTTTAATATTGGCTTATGGGAAAGCATCCACCTACCATTGTTATGTCCCTCGCAGAGAAGCTGCAGAAACCTAAAAAGATCCTTAGTGAATTCATCATTCTGCAGTACCTTGGAACCTGAGGACGGGAAATAAGATTAGCTGTCCTCCTCAGTGACAGGAAGGTCAAGCACCCATCATTTTAATGTCTGCACAGGCATCAGAGCTTGTTGCACATCCTCATAAAGCTGCTGTTTAGTTGTCAGACGGCATCAAATTATGTGCACTATATTGACGGTTCGGAACACACACGCATACGAGGTATAGTGCATCATCTCACAATCAAAATAAGGCTTATAATAGGAACCAAACTGAGCCTTGTTGTTTAATACCAGCAAATCTTTGTTGTTTAGTACAAACAAAGCTTTGGGAGATTTATTGCTTAATACACGCTGGTTAGTATGATCAAAAAAGGGAAAAAAAGGAGGGGTGGGGTCCAAAAATAACAAGCATTAATTTTGCTTAAAAGAAGAAGTGGAAAGATCTGAGTCAGTTTGGGGCAGCTGACTGTAAACAATCTATCCAGATGTCAAAGGATGCATGCATGCGTTCCTCCAAGTCCAGATTAAAGAAGGTGGTTATATTGCATTCAGAATGAGGGAAGGGGGGGAAGTGGGGGAGGGCTGGTAGAGGATGAGCAGAGGGATGAGGGAGTTGAACTGGAGGCAATCAACATGTCAGCATTTCATAGAATGAGTAGAATCTAAACCGTGTATTTACCCCGCTCACTCACGTTGACTGCGACCGATGACATAAAAACATGATCAGAAGAAAACAAACAAACAAACAAAACAGAAGCAGACATAAGCAAAGGAGAAGACATTTAGAGTCAATCAGAAGAAGTAGGAACAGGAGAGTGATAGGGCTGTAGATATATCTTTACATACTCACACTGGATTGCGACACTGACATGCGGTACCAAGTCTTAAAAAGAGTACAGTCTGCTTATTGGGCAGGTGTTTAGTACCAAACTAGCAGTTACCATCACTTATGCCTGAGCTTATGAGGTGAAAATGAGCTGGGATATGTATGGTTAAAGCATATTTATATACTGTATGCAACCCATCGGTTTAAATAAAGACCTCTGATTATAAAAAGTGAGCTTTTATGCAAACTGAGTGTTCTTAAGTTGCAGACGAGGCTCAGACAGGACTTAGACATACAGTAGCACATGTTTGCCTGCATGATGATGTGACAACGTAACACAAAGGACCCACGTGATATGGAGATGTACAACAACAAACTAAAGAGCAGATGTTTTTTTCCAAGCTAACCTTGTGGCTGTCATTTTAAGAAAAACAGCAAAATGAGACTAAGTAGGACACTACACGTTACAATACCGGTTGTTTGCTAAGAAACATCGTCCACGATGGAGTGAGGAAGAAGATAAAGGTCAATCTGCTGCACAAATAAAGCTGCAAATTTGTACATTTCTGCACATTGCCAATTTGCAAATATGCCGTCTGTTGCTTTTCCTATTAAGGTGATTAAAAGTCTCCAAGAAAGGGGACGAGAAGGAATTGCAACACTAAAACTGTGTTTTAGTCACTTACTTGATCCCTCTTCAGTTACCATACCCAGACCTTCAGCTTTGTTTTGCCTTTCAAAAGCATTCAAGTCCAGGACGCTGCCCAAAGAGAAAAACGATTTAAGTAACCTGAATTTCTGGAAAATAAACCGATCGGCATAACTTTATGACCACTTGTATAATACTGTTTGACAGCCCCGACCCTTTGAGGCATGGACTCCTCTGGACCCCTGAAGTTGTGTTGTGGCATCGAACAACAAGATGTTAGCAACAGATCCTTTAAGTCCTGTAAAGTGCAAGGTGGGACCTCTATGGATTGGACTTGTTTGTCCATAACATCCCACAGATGCTGCATAGCAGTGAGGAGGTCAGAGGTGAAGTCCACACTTCAAACTCGTTGTTGTTCTCCTCAAACTATTCCTGAACCAATTTCCCATTATTATCCTGTGAAAGAGGCCACAGCCTTCAAGGAATATCATTTCAATGAGTGTATATGGTCTGAAACAATGCTTAGGTAGGTGGTGCATGTCAAAGTAACATCCACATGGATGGCAGGGCCTAAGGTTTCCCAGCAGAAATGATCCCAAAGGCTTAGCATCTTCACATAGTGCATCCTGATGTCAGGTGTTCCCCAGTTAATCACACGCATGCATCCGGCCCATCCACGTGTCCTGGTCATAGGAGCAAGCCACCTTCTTCCATTGCTTCATGGTCCATTTCTGACACTCACGTGTGCATTGTTGGCACTTTTCGCAGTTTGCATCCTGACTGGTCTGTAGCTATGCCAAAGCACAGGTAACAAACTGTGATGCTCTGTGTATTCTGACACCTTTATTTCAGAATTATCATGAACTTTTCTGGCAATTTGCTCTACAGTAGCTCATCCTGACCACACAAGCCAGCCATAGCCTCCCACATGCATCAGTGACCCTGTTGCTAGTTCACCACTGTTCCCTCCTTGTATCACTTTTGATAGATACTGACCACTGCAGACTGGGAACACCCCACAAGAGCTGCAGTTTTGGAGATTCTCATTTGTCAAAGCATCACAGTTTGGCCTTTATCAAACTTGCACAAATCCTTACACTCGCCCATTTTTCCTGCTAACACATCCTCTCAGGACAAAATCTTCTCTAATATATCTCCCCCATTAACAGGTACCATGATAAAGAGAATCAGTGTTATTCACGTCACCTGTCAGTGGTCATAATGTTATAGCTGACTGATAACAATTTACCGCTGTGGGAAAGTAAAGCAGAACGGTCAAAATGGATGTTAAAAAATGGCTAGTTCTGAGTCAGGAAAACTAGATAACTGTTTGAACTGCAACTGCAATAAAAAGCAAGTTTACTGTGTATTAATCACTCATCGCTCCAGTACCTGCATGACATCATGAGTCCGGACAAGCTTTTAAAGAAGCCAACATCTCTTTTTTCCTTGAGATAATCCAGCATTTTCTGCATGAAAGGAAAAGTACAGTCAGGCTAAAAGATGAAGCTGTTAGCTGCAGAGACTAGACGTGAAGAGTACCGTGTTACCTGTTGAACCAGGATGTTCCCTCCATTGAGAATGGAGATGCCCAGCTTGAGCGTGACAGTTACCGTAGCACCCAGTCGACCTGATGATCATAGATGACGTTGATCTAAATACATAGACTGCAGGAAGGCAGACAGCTCAGGCATTTGATTTCTTACCTTTGCTGGCGCTGATCATTTGAAGCACCATCTCCGCAGCCCCTCTGTCATGAAGTCTGGCCTGCTGATACAGCATCTTTTGCTTCTCCATTTCCTTTTCCTGTAGGACATTATGACATGCACCACTTCTGAATATGATTGAAAACAGAAAAAAAGTTTAATCTTGAACAACATTCCCTCAAATATTTAGAGCACCTCAAATGTTTTCTCTTTTCCTTCCTCTTCTTCGCCTTCAGCACAACTCTGGGAAGAAAAAAAAGACTATCAGAGCTGCATGTTTCTGCTAAGAAGCTGACAAGAGCAATTTAATGAGATTCAATGAGATACCTTTGCCATCATATCTGCATAGGCAATATACAAGGGATCCTCTTCCAGAGAACTAACAAAGAAGAGAGATAAATATCTCTTTATTGAACCTTGTATATTTCACATCTCTACTGTAAATCTGTACATAATAAGTGGCAGTGATCGCATTTATAGCCACTGCAGCAAATAAACCAGAGAAACACTGAAAAGCTGCTTCGGTTTTCTTCATAGTGTAAAATATGACGATGGTTTAGCTTATTGCTCTCTGTAGCAGCTGAGAAGCATGCCAAAACAATTATGTAGCACAGATGGAGCAACCTGTGTTAGTGCCAGCTGGCCAGGTGTGTGAGAGTATATTTACCTGCATTCAGTCAGAGCGTTATGGCTGAAATGCAGAATGAGCTGGTGAAGAGGGTCTGGCTGCTTTCTCACCTCCTCCTCCTCCTCTTCCTCCACTTTAGGCTGTATTTTCTGGACACAGCCACATGAGTCAGGCTAACGTTTAACCCAACAAATGTGTATCACAACACTATTTTACAAGTTCATGTCAAAGGGGACCTATTATGCTCATTCCCAGAGTCACATGATTAGCACAACATCCTATTATCTCTGGATCTTGGTGGATCCCTTCAGGTCATCGTCTTGCTGCCCCTGACAAACTAAAGGTTTGAACAGCAGGTGGGTGAGAGAAGAATTTGAAGCCTAAGCTTTTGGCTCACATGGATTACCTGCACATCTCCAGAGCTGATTATTTGAAACTTTGGCTACGTTTAATATGAGAAATCTCTATCTCATACATACATATGGTGGAAAAACATAATAGGTCCAACTGTTAACTCCTATGGGAGAAAAAGACATGCACAAAACATGCATGCAAATGCAAAAAACACACACACGCTGGTACAAGCGCACACAAACACACACACACGATTGATGGTGTTAAGCAGCGTTAAAGGTGAGTGGAGTTAAGCATGACTCTCCACAAGCCCAGTTTACCCTCATATTTAACCATTTTATGATTATTTTACTTACTGGAACAATTGTTTTTTTAAATGTTTTTATAAATACGTGCGTCTGATTGGCTGAACCTTGACATTCTTCATCTATTGCACTGTAACTTCATCAGTAATATAAAGATACAGTAAGACATCGATACGAATATGCTAAGAAGAAAGTTTATAGTTTAAATCTTTACAAATTCAAAAAGTTTCTTTTTTAATAAACAAACACAGCCTAGTTTGTTCCAATACGCCGCATGTAATATATCGCATGTCTAACAGTAAGCTGCTGTCCTGATTGTGGAGCTTAATGGAAATGAAAGTCCAGGAAAGAATCTGAACTTTCATCAACTTTAAATGGAAGTCAAAGCATCCTGACAGGATGCTTTCTTGCCTCTGCTTGGATGGGCCACAGTGATCAAACTACTTTGCTGGCTCTGACATCAGCAGTGATGTCATGCTTACCACAAATGGGCCTAGCTGTAAACCACTTTGCGGATGACTGAAGAGAGCGGTGTGAGCTACGCGCTGCTTCCCGCAGCACATGGGTGCCGACATAAGGGCACCGAAGGGACAGCACAAGTACTTACTGCAAGGTCCTGCACTAGTTTCTCTTCAAAAGAGTACTCTTCTGTTTCTATCCATATTCTCTGATAGGCCAGGAGGAAGAGGTTAATAGAGCGATGCCTAGGGAGGGGTAAGAATAGAGAAGCCTGGGTTAAAGATGAGCAGAGCAAAGGATGGAAGAAGTTGGAGAGAAGGATGGTAGAAGTCCCTTCAGGAGAGGTTAATATCAGTTAGTTTAGAGCACTGATCTAACAGGCCACCTGTGAGGAAATTTTTTTTTGTTGTTTTTTGTTTCCTTTTGTTTATTCCTGGCCTAAATCTGGAGATAATGTATTCCCACATTACATTCTTTTTCTTCTCACACAGGCAGAGTAAAAAATTTGAGGCCAGCTCAAGTTTGATTTGCCTCGAGTCAGACGCCATCACACAGCTACAAGTGTAGTGTTTGTAGCTTCCACTCCGAATGACTTGAAGCCAACTGCTTCTGTCTGTGAACACAGCAGCGTCTGGAGAGCCTGACCTAAGAGGTGTCGAAAGAGTAGCATCATTGTTCTCATCTGAGTCAGCCAAGAAATAAAAATGGCAAAAATTCAAACTACTTGAACCAATTCTTTACAATGTGGCTCGTTAAATTGTTGCACATACATGGACCAGTGGAAAAAGGAAAGCTAAAATGTGGCAGAAATCATGCCTCTGGGGGGAGGGGAGAGCGAGGGTTAGCAGGCCACATAGTAACAACATTAGATCAGCGCTACGTTACCGTCAGCATTGAGAGCAGACTGTCACGGTCTGCGCTCTCGTGCATAATCTCCAGCCAAATGTGCCGGTAGGAATTCAGGAAGTAATTGTTATTTTTGTGCCTAAGGGGACGACGTACAATAGAATGTGACACTGAGGAGAGAATAGAGACTGAACAGAGACACAATAGAGAAAAATGACATCTGAATGTGTCAAACTTTGGAAGAGCTGCCATCACACACTTCCCCCTAACCCAAATCTATTAATCTGAAGAAAAACAATCATTGCTCCCGCACTGCAAATACTAACTAGTAATTATTTGCTATGCTGCAGCATATTTCACTGTCAATAACTCTGAATAAATGAGTCATGCTGTCAGGCAGGCGGGTGGCATCGTCTGAGAACATATTGAGGACGGCCACCCTGAGGTTGGGCCTCGTAATTGTTTTCCTCCTGACTGTAGCACCCTGCCCGACTTCCTGTGATTGAGTTACAGAGCAGCAGGGCGTGAAATTGCTTGTGTCCCTTTTTTTAAAAAATGTTTTTATTTACTCTTTGATAACAGCTATAGGCGAGACATTTGTCCTACAAACCGAGGGGAGGCTACGCATTAACGCAGGGTCAGAGAGAGCGAGTCAGACAGAAGAAGGAGAAAGTGTGATGGCAGAGTGCGTGGATGCCCTTTCTGCAGCATTTTCCTATCTGTTACCGGTACCACGGAAAGGTCTGTGCTACCCTCTGCTGGAGGGTCACCTTGGTTTCATCATTACAAAGCTGCTTCAAATGTTTGGAGACCTGGAGACAACGATGGGAGGTTTAAACAATGTCGGCTTAACTGTTACGCCGCAGTCATACCTCGGCAGATTGTAAAGCGGAGCCATTCGGAAGCAGGCGACAACGGCGCGCTTCCTCTGCTTGGACAGCAACTTCTGCCATACACATTTTTTGGATCTCAGTGGTTGTTCCACCTAATGAGGGGAGAGAAACTGAGGGGTAAGATTTTTCTATAACGCACTCAAATGGCATTCTCTACCGAGCAAGCCAGAGGAAAACACACACACACACACACACACACACACACAC